TCGTACATCATCGGGCCGGCCCCCCCCCCCCCCCTGCTGGTGGTTCTGCTGACCTTTCACCCTGTGTGTCTTAGGATCAGAGCTGAGGATCCAAGTGTCTGGAACCACAGTGGAGCAGCAGCTGAGTGACCTCCAGGACTCCACCACCTACACCGTCACCATCACCAGCCAGCAGTCCAGCCGACACAGCTCTGCTGCCGGCACCAGCTTCACCACCAGTAGGGGTCACTGCACACTAACACACTGATACAGAGGCGCAAACACTTTTTTCTTGACTTGAACTTTTTCAGGCTCGGCGAGTGACGCTGCAGGTCCGCGAGACTTCCAGGCCAGTCATGTGACCCCACGTGCCGCGCTGTTGTCATGGAAACCGCCCACAAAACCTGCAGCAGGCTACAGGCTGACCTATCAGACTGAAGGTCACGACAGGAAGGTGGGAACTCCGTGACCCTGAGCAAAGAGACGGTCACCGCTAAAATCATCCGTTGACCTCCCGTTGACCTCCCGTTGACCTCCCGTTGACCTCCCGTTGACCTCTCGTTGACCTCTCGTCTTTTGTCTTTAACAGGAAGTAAAGTTAAATTCCTCAGTGACTGAGTTCAACCTGACCCGACTTCATTCTGGATCCAGGTACACGGTCCAGCTTCAGGCAGAGTCAGAAGGAAGATACGGCGCCACCATTTCCACAGAGTTCACCACTGGTACTGCAGCCACTCACTGATCATCTTCACCATCTTTGTTCCTAATGTTCAAACCTCCTCCTCCTCCTCCTCCTCCTCCTCCCCCCCCTCCCCCAGCCCCCCCCTCCCCCCCCACTCATCTCGCGTAGATCTTCCTAATGTTCAAACCTCCTCCTCCTCCTCCTCCTCCTCCTCTGCAGGCTCCCTGAGGTTCCCCTTCCCCAGTGACTGTTCTCAGGAACTGTTGAACGGCTTCACCAAGTCAGGAGAGATGGACATTTTCCCTCAGGGCAGACAGGGGGCGCTGTTGACTGTTTACTGTGACATGGAGACAGATGGAGGAGGATGGACGGTGTGGTCAACAGTACCGACACATTCACACTCACATTCACACTCACTCCTTCTTGTTCTATACTGTTCTGTTTGGAGTAAAATAAAATGCAGCCAATCAGGAAATGGCGGATCTGTAAGCTCCGCCCACATGGTTCCAGGGACTCTCACACAAACAGTCCCTGGTACTGTTTTGGACGAACCCTGCGCTCTGATGTTGTCAGGTGTTCCAGAGGAGGCGTGACGGCTCGGTGAACTTCTTCCGAGGGTGGAGCGACTACGTCGGAGGTTTCGGAGATCTGAGCGGAGAGTTCTGGCTCGGTGAGTTGGTGATGACGCACGGTGCTGCACGGCATCATGGGAAACAGGTGAAATCGGAGCCTGATGCTGGACGGTCTGGTTCCTCCTCAGGTCTGGAGAGTCTTCACAACCTGACGTCAGCCGCCAGGATGAGTCTACGCGTCGACCTGAGGGTCGGGGACCAGCGGGCGTACGCCGAGTACTCCAAGTTCGAGGTGTCCAGGAGGTTCTACAGGCTGACGGTGGGGGGGTACAGTGGCACCGCAGGTGAGGACCTGGTCCTCCTGGTTCGTCTCACTTCTTGGATACCCTGCTTCACCCCTCCTCCTCCTCCTCCTCCCCCTCCCCCTCCCCCCTCTGTCTCTCTGTGTCAGGTGACTCGTTGAGTTACCATAACAACCGCGCCTTCTCCACCAAAGACCGCGACCGCTCCTCGCTCATCACCCGCTGTGCCATGTCGTACCGAGGGGGCTGGTGGTACAGGAACTGTCACGAGGCCAATCTGAACGGACTGTACGGCGTCCACCTCCAACACAAGGTAACGCCCCCTGATGATGTCACACCTGAGGGCTGATGGGGCATTTTGACAAAAAGTAGGTTCTAGTGGTGACAACAGCCCCCTGCTGGGGGAGTGGTGGTATTTTTTTCTGAACTTCTCCCCCCCCCCCCCCCCCCCCTTCACCACACATAGGTTAGTAGAGGGAAGAAGAAAAAAAACAAAGCAATTTGTGCTCATTTGTAAACTGTTGTCAAAATGTAAATCAAAGGGGGAGGAGAACACACATACTTTATTATTCTGAGCACCTTGGTTTAGAGTGGAGGAAGTCTCTTCGTCAAACGCTCACTAAATGTTTGGTCTCAGTAACAGGAAGTGGACAAGGGTTTCCTGTTTGTTGACGGGTCACTTCCTGTCTCTTTAACAAAAATAAAAGTCATGAACCAATCAAAATGGAGCCAGTTCCAAACAGAACCGGTTTTTATTCCCTCCTTTTTTTAACTTCTCTTTATTTTCTGTAGATAAATGCATATTCACACACACACACACACACACACACAAAAACGTGTGTGTGTGTGTGTGTGTGTGTGTGTGTATTTATAGTGTGTGATGTCAGCGTGGCTGGTCACCTGACCTGTCTCCTGGACAATAATTCCCGTGTGTATCTTTGAAAGTCTGTCGTTGTTTTTATCTGGTCCCCGGAGAGAAGCCCCGCCCCTCTGTACACACCCCTGCTCAGCAGCCAACCAATCAGATTCAGCCCAGGTCTCACCTGCAGCTCAGTCTCCTGATGTTGGTGAGACACTCAGGCAGGAAGACCACACTCCGTCTTCTCCTCTTCCTGTTTGAAGACCGCAGCTGCGGAGGTGAGGTCTTATCAGGAGGTCAGTGATGTCAGATGATGTCATCAGTTCACACGGATCTGGTCTCCACCAACGGCTGAGAGGAACCAGAGGAACCAGAGGAACCAGAGGGACCAGTGACCAGTGGACGTCAGGAGACAACAGGAGGTCAGGTGATCAAACCTCCAATGAAATGACTGAAGATGACCTAGAGCAGGTGACCTGTGACCTCATGAGGTGACCTAGAGCAGGTGACCTGTGACCTCATGAGGTGACCGAGAGCTGGTGACCTGTGACCTCATGAGGTGACCTAGAGCAGGTGACCTGTGACCTCATGAGGTGAGGATGAAGATGAACGGTTTGATGATGAAGGTGAGAAGAGTTAACAGAACCTTCATCTTCATCTTCATCTTCACGGTCTGTCCTCTGGCTCTAATGAAGAAAAGGGGGGGGGGTCAATTATCAGCTCTTCAAGTGGACAGCTGATAATTGACCTCCCCCTCCTCCCCCCTCCTCCCCTCTTTTCCTCCCACTCAGGACAATCATGACGGCTCCAGACCAACAGGTCCTGGAGGACCTGCTGTTGTTCCGCAGTGACCTTGGTGACCAGGGGGGGGAGTCACAGAGTCTGAGTGGAGGAGGCCAGACCGTGGAGGAGGAGGAGGAGGAGGAGGAGGAGGAGGATGATGTCACTGCTGCTGACACTGACAACGTGAGGCTGAAAATTAAAATAACGTCCCATG